ATTTGGCAGTCCCATTCTTACCCTGTTGAATCGGTCCAGGAAGTCCCGGAGTCCTTCACCTGTCGTTTGTCTGATGGCGAAAATATCATTGACCCTAGCTTCGGCCTTCTTTGCTCCTGCATGAGCGGTGGCGAATTTGTCCGCCATCTCCTCGAACGTTGATATCGATCGAGCGGGTAGTTGAGATTACCATGTTAACGCCCCTCCTGTCAAAGTTTCACCAAACTTTTTTAACAACACGGATGGGACTTGTTCTTTTGATAAGTCGTTGCCTTTTACAACGGTTACATAATGGATCAGATGGTCTCTGGATCTGTGGTCCCGTCATATATTTTCAAGTATTGTGGAATTTTGAAGGTTTTTGGGATTGGGTGAGGAGCAGCTTCCTCACTGTATGGTTGCTCGACAAATCTTCCCACGTCGCGTTTTGGCAATAGCTTAGGGGCGCCAGGTATCTTGTCAACCTTTCTGGTGTTCCTTCATTTGATCACGAAGCACCTTATTCTCGTTCTCCATTTCTTCCATTTTCTTGAGGATGGTCGCAAGCGCACCATCGCTTGTGTTGATAGCAGTGTGGATGTTGCTCGTTCGTACATCGCTTGGCTCACCGGCGGCAACGGTGATTTCTGCCGTTGGCGAGTCTTTGGCATTTCCCTGAGGGGGTTTTTCGAGCATGTTGCTTAGAGTGCTCGTCAACCATTCCTCTAGCAGCCTTTTGACTACTGAGGGTGTTTCTTTTGTCGCAGACGCATAAGCCCCTCTTTCACGCAAGATCGCTAGATCTTCGAGTGAAGAGGGCGAGATCTCCCCCTCTGGCACATTACCTGGTGTTACATTCGCGGTATTTTCCCTACCGGCTTCGTTGATGGAGTCTATGAGATTATTTGAGACGTCTGCTATCATCTTCAACCTTGCTTCTTTTTCTGCCATTGTTGGCTTCTATGAGGTCTGAAGGACAGTGATTGTCGTTGTCGATATCCTAGGTGTGAACTATGATTTCGACTACCGAAATTCCCACAGACGGCGATGTTGCTCCCAAACGCACACGCAAGTATACGTGGTCAACAAGTAATATAGGATTGTAAGTCCAGATATCGTACCCACAGGGACTTGTGATTAACTATCAACTAAATTAAATCAAACAATTAATCTATTCAAGCGAATCCTAAAGTATGAATATTTAACTAAAGATAATCTGGAGTAGTAAACTAAGAGATTAAAGAAAACAAGTTGGCGAATTATAGAGACGAATTTAATGTGAGTGAATATTCTAGAGCTATGGGTTAGCTAACAATCCTGTTGAGTTTTCCACTTAAATCGTCTAATTAATTTATCTGGTTTATTGGTTGACAGGGTTAATATTGCTCGTAGCCTTCTCCCGAAGTACAACTCGCCTATTCAAGCTAACCTAACGCCTATATTCCTATGGAATTAGGATTAACAACAACGCATTTATAATTCCCGTATAATAACCAAGCAAGGCGATTAGGTATATTCCTATCCTAACCGCAAATCCGCTCCCCCTAAGAGTTAAGATCTTGCTCTACTCAATCTTATATGCAATCTAGAATTCCCTCTCCCGAGTTCAATCCTAGATTCGTAAATATTATTCAATTGGTGATCAAGCAATCAAATAATTAAGCGCAAGATTGAATAAATAAACCAATATGATAAAATAATAAGAACAATTCAAGCTTCAAACTACAACGTTCATGTAGCACCCAAAAACTCTAGAACAAATAAACTATGAAATTAAAGGAAGAGAAGAGAAGAAAACTAGTTGGAAGCCTTCTCCAAGCGTGGTGTGTTCCTCCACGTGAATTCTCCTTCAAAGTATGTTAGATATCACCAAGGTGGCGTCCTCCCCCTTCAAAAATAGCTTTAGTCTTGCTTTTATACGTGTTGGGTAGGTCTAGGGCCGAATAAACTTGTCCCGGGCGAAATAGGACACATTTCATGTCACCGGCGCCCAGCCCGGCGCCAGGCGCCTTCCATAGCGCCCAAATATTTGTGCATACTGTTTTTGGCGCCACAGCTGGCGCCAGGCGCTGCCTGTGGCGCCCAACTGGCCCTTTTTTCCCGGTTTCGTTCATTTTGGCTCAAATCTTGCGCGTTTCGCCCCGTTCTGTTTGGAATTTGGAAAAACGTAAAACATGAAAGTTGTATACCTTTGAGTTAGCTTTCCAACCATATATTGTGGAGCCCAAATGGAGTTCTGAGCAAAAGGTTATGTGTATTTTGCTAGACAGTCTGCAATATGCCTACTCGAGTCTCCGTTTGTTCTTAACTATCAAAGTTGACCCCTGACACGATCCCGGCTTAATTCCTTGGGCTTTTACTCAGACTTCAAAGCTCCAGATCACTTGAATTCATTCCATAACATCTATATAGCTCGGAATCACTCCTACAAGACATAAAACACACCGTTAGTGCAAAACACTACCGATTAAAGCGCAAACTCAACTAAAGTGCAGTAAATTAGAGTGTAATAATCGACTAAAATACGTAATTATAACCTATCATTAGCAACAAATTGTTTGACTCAATAGTTGCTAAATACTTTTAATCAAATCAATCAAAAGGGATGAAGGAGTAAATCGTAATCGAAAATAATAAACCCTAGGATGATCTTGGTAATCGATTTTGCAATAAGAGTATAAGTGAGATAGAGAGAGAAGAGAATGTTGGAGAGAGAGAGAGAGTATATTCATCCAGATCCCCCCTTTTACAAAGCTCGGATCCCCCTCTTATATACTAGGGGATCCCCCCCTTTTTATCTTAAAAGGCAAAACATAAACAGTACATGATAGAAAGGGGTCCATGGGGTTATGAAGTCATTTCACCTATTGTGTCCAAGTAGCCCCTCTGTCGAGGCTCACATATGTTCAGGGGTCGGTCGTGCTGCTCTAAGGACGTAGTCGGCCAAATTCGACCCATACATTAGTAATACCAAGGCTATTGATACATGTAGTAGTATGGTTAAAGACAAAAAGGGTGTTTGGCTAAGCTTATAAGCTGGTCAAACTGGCTTATAAGAACTTTTTGGCTTATCTACGCGTTTGGTAAAATTAAAAGTGCTTATAAGCCAAAAATAAGCTAAAAGCTATAAGTTGGTCTCCCCCACCTTATCAGATTTCAGCTTATAAGCACTTTAGGTTTGACCAAAATATTTACTATTCTATCCCTAAAATACTTCTTTTTAAAACAAAACTCTTCGTATACCCAGTTCTTCAGCTGCTTATTATTAATTTCAGCACTTTTATCCAAACACGTAACTGCTTATTTTTTTAATCAGTTTCGGCACTTAAAAGTGTTTTTCAACACCTAATGCTTATCAGCTACTCTAAATCAGCTAAGCCAAACGGGCTCAAAATTATCTTTAAAGTCCCTTAAAGCTACATAATATGAAGGACATCTTTGTAAACAACTATTTTTCTTAAAAATTATGCAATGTATTATAATTTTAATACACCACACCAAATAATAGATAAGAAATAATATATGTATAACTAATGCTTGCATTACTAATATATGCATTATTAATCCACGCATGACTAATATACCTTATTCCGCACTATTATATACCCTACCAAACGACCCCTAAATGAATTGTACCTCTGGTGCGTTATGCAATACGGGCTTAGTGGTGAATATCGACTTCTGATTGTGATAAAGGAAAGTTTTTCGCAGCAATTTTTCCTTTAGATTCTCGTGGCCCGTGCTCTCAGAACCAACCATCTATAAAAGGGAAAACAAATAAAAATTCCCTATTGTTGTGTAGTTATGGTTAAACCCAAGGAGAGAATTAAAAAATAGAAGATCAGAAATGAAGGGAGTAATAGCTGGTCTGGATGTAGTTCTTTTTGGCCAAAAATATTTTTTTTTTGTGAAGTTAAAGTGTTTGACCAAGTTTTTAGAAGTAAAAAGTCCTTTTTAGCAGAAATAGTTTTTGAGAAGCAAAAAAAAGTAACTTCTCTCTTATAATAATATTTTGAAAAGCACTTTTGACAAAAAAATATACTCAGTGACTTAGAAGAACTCTTTAAAAGCTTGATCTAGCCTATTTGGCCAAGCTTCTTTCAAATCATGCACTCTTTTTTCTTAACTTGAAGTGTTTGGTCAAGTTTTTTGAGAGGAAAAATACATTTGGGGAGAAGCAGAAACAATTTTTGAGAAGTAGAAAAAAGTAACTTCTTCCCAGAAGCATAAGCAAACCCAGTTTTGAATTTTCTTCCTACCAAAAATACCCTTGGCAAAATATTATATATACCAAATTAATCTTACTTAGTTTTAAAATATGAAGTAATATATAATAAATTTTGGTATGAATTTTCATATTTGTTGAAGAATATTTCATATATTTATATCACCTTGAAAGAATAAAGTAATTTTTATTTTTTTCTTTATATTTTACCTAAATAAAATAAAAAACTTAATTATTATATATAATAATAAATATTTATAATTATTTATCTACATATATAATATTAACTACTAAATACATCTCTTCATATCCTATTCATAATTTGATACTTAAAAGTATTTTTTTTAAAAAAGTTTGGCCAACACAAATTATTGCTTAAAAATATTTTTTAAATTGATTAGCCAAATACAAATTGCTTTTCTCCGAAAGTATTTTTCAAAAAATACTTCTCAAGATAAGCTGATTTTACAGCTTGGACAAATAGCTATAATTGTTGTGCAGATATACTTTTCAAATTAATTAATCAAATAAAAACTACTTCTAATCAAAAATATTTTTCTTAAAATCATTTTTGAGAAATTTATTCAAAGTAGGCTGATTTTAACAGCACGACCAAACCAAGCTATAAGACAACTGCCTGCAAAAGCTAAACTGGCGCCTCCAGTCTCCACGACACACCTCCTCAGGTCTCCGAGAGGCTAATGACTGACCCACACGGTTCCTCTAATTTGGGTTGGGACTTGGGAGCGACACAATCCCATACCGTAAACCCTCACACAGACGATCCTACCTTTCCACAAATGCCTGAAAGTCCGAAACCCATCTCTTGTTTTGAAAAACACAAAAGCCTCGTCGTCGACTTTCCTTTCTCTCTGTAAAAAATAAAAAATAAAAAAATCCTTTTCGCTGATTAATCACTTGCTCCGATCATTATCGTTATTGGAGATGGCGGCGGCGAGTGGAACAACATGGCAACCACAAGAGGAAGGGTTCAAAGAGATCTGTGGATTATTGGAGCAACAGATGTCTCCGACTTCAGATAAGTCTCAGATTTGGCAACAACTTCAACACTACTCTCACTTCCCTGATTTCAATAACTACCTCGCTTTTATCTTCGCTCGTGCTGAGGTATCACTCCTTTATCCTAGACTCTTCTTTCGTGATAAAATTCTTTGACTCTTAGCTAATAATTCAATTATTTAACGGATTGATTTTTTTCTTACTTAGTTCGAAAATCTTCCTTGTTGAAATGGTCGTGGTGTGGATTATTTTAGCATATTTATCCCTAAGTGCTTACTTGAAAGTTAAATTGACTTTTGGAAAATGCGTTTTAAACTTAGTTGTTGCATAAGTTATTCGTCTTCTTTATGGAGTTAGCAAAGTCATACCTATGTGCTTCCTTGATATTTGAATTGCTCTTTGGACAATGCCAATGAAACTTAACTGTTGCATTTAGTCTTAAGTCTTCTTTATGGCGATACTGTGAGGAGTGGCGGAGCCAGGATTGTAACAAGGGGATTTAGAAAAAATAGAACTTGTGACCTCAAGCAATTTTTGAACTACCTTTGCCACTACAAGGGGATTCAAAAGTTAATATATTTTTGAAAAAGTTGTTTTTGTCCTGTTTGCACAGAATGATTTTCCAATGAAGGGGATTCAATTGAACCTCCTTCCTTGGCAGTGGCGGAGCAACTGGCAGTGAGTTCTCTCTCCATTTCTTCCAATCTCTGATTTAAATATTGCATTGAGTTTATTGGCGGCATTGTGATCTCTCTCTCTCTTTCTTTCATTCCCTGATATTCTATAGGATTATAACTTTCTTATGTTGCTAGCATGTAGTAGATCTCACAACAGTGAAAAGATGGCTTGTATTGACATCTATTTTTTGATGCATGGTAGATCATCTTGTTCATATTGCAATTGGAACGGGTTTGGTCTAAACATGGTGATATTTTGGAAAGCTACTATATTTTCCACTCAACAATCTGGTTGGTCCTTATAACAGGGGAAGTCAGTGGACGTTCGGCAAGCAGCTGGGTTGCTACTGAAAAATAACCTGAGAACTGCCTTCAAAAACATGCCTCCTGCTAATCAGCAGTACATTAAATCTGAGTTGCTACCTTCTCTTGGGGCGGCAGATAGACACATCAGGTCTACTGCTGGGACCATCATTAGTGTTCTTGTACAGATTGACGGAGTTGCTGGATGGCCAGAGTTGCTACAGGCACTTGTCAATAGCTTGGATAGTAACGACATAAATCACATGGAAGGAGCCATGGATGCCTTATCAAAGGTATCATTTTACTGTTATTTAACTAGCATTTCACTCGATAATATTTCACGGGATACAGTGTGAAACTTGGTGTCAATATCTGATTTGGAAGTGTTGCATAACTATAATAAACAAGAACTTTTTCTTCTGTAGTGTGCTCATTATGTGAGATCCTCAAAGATTGCTAAATTCTCTTTGCAACATATGTTGTAAGGGCGATGATCTTAGCCTCTTGTTACGTTGTTAGTGAACGTGAGTGTAAAGTGACAACAGTGGTAAAAATAGCCACAGTGGGACATGTGTCAGATCTTTGTTAAACTAACACATGACTGGCCTGCTGAACATTTTCTGTAATGCAGATCTGTGAGGACGTTCCTCAACTTCTTGATTCTGATATTTCTGGATTATCTGAACGACCCATTACTGTTTTCCTTCCTAGGTTTCTCCTGGTAAGCTAACTCTTCCCTTTCCTTATATTCACTTCTTTGCCCAATTTTATCTGATGTTGCTTCATTTATCATATAGTTTGCTGTATATTTGATATTCAAGCTAAATTCATAATATCATTCTAACTTGACCTTTAAACGGACAGCTTTTCCAGTCATCTCATGCTTCTCTCAGAAAGCTTTCACTGAGTTCTGTGAATCAATTTATAATGCTGATGCCTAAAGTGAGTACCTCTTCTGTTGGGCTATCTAGTTATTACCCTTTCTGCTGCCTTTGTGTCATTTTGACTCCATTGCTCATCTGGTCAGTGCTACTGTTATAGGTTTTGTATCTATCCATGGATAAATATCTTCAAGGTTTGTTTCTTCTTGCCAATGACCCTGCTCCAGAGGTGCGGAAGTTGGTAAGTAACTGCCGTGATATCTTTCATATACATTCTCTCTCTTCTGTGGTGCACATCATCAAAATTGCTATCAGTATCATTTGATGTACGCCTATTTATGATAGCTTTAGCAGGATAAATTGAGCTTGTAAGACTGAATTAAATCTGTTAAGAGATTTATGACTTTAGTTCACAGATCACACATCTGGTGTATTAATAGGTTAAAATGGTCTTTGTAGTAGGCACCTGGTAGATGGGATGTTTCTTTCTGAGTGTTTCTTTTTCTAGTTGTTTAGCTTGGTCATAAGAGGTAATGGTAAATTTGTATGTCTATTAGAACCTTAGCTGTCTTTTGTGTTAGGGCTATGATTTTTCTATGTCAAGAATGATGGGAGTCGGATGTTCAGTTCTCTGTTAAATAGTGTTATTGAAGGCGTGCTTAAAGCGCACTTGAGCCCTAAAGCAATGCTCAAAGCATGTTGAGCTCTTCGCCTCGCGTAGCGGGCGCTTCAGTGTCGTCATCAAGGCTATAAGGCATACTTTTCCTTGCCAATGACTGTAATGTTGAAGAGACGACACTAAACAATTGATATTTTACGTTATCGTAAAATTTTCTTCAATTTCTTGGTCTATATATTTGGTATTCGCTTATAGATATTAGTCCTGGAATACACATACATATTTGTAGTGTTTCTCCATTTGCGCCTTTCTTCATTAAAGCCCGCGCTTTATTTGCGCTTTAAGCCCCAACAGTCCTTAGAGGTTTTTTGCGCTTTTCGCTTTTGATGACACTGCCAATGTTGTCAAAGGCGAAAAGCCCTCTAGGTCTGCTGAGGCTTTAAGCGCACTTAAAGTGTGAGCTTAAGTAAAAAAAGGCGTAATGAAGGAGAAATATATATATATATATATATATATATATATATATATATATAACAAAGTAACAAATTCATTCATAATTTTTCCCTTTACAGCTAATACACTTATTTTCCAATTATGTTTGATGTTTAGAACCGCTTAATTTACGACAAAACTCATGGACAATGAGGTGCATGTCTTAGTGCCTTGCCTTAGGCTGAGGTGCACTTAAGTGAGGCAAAGCGCCCTCCCTAAGCTTTTCTGAGCTTCAGGGCTTAAGCGCACCTTAAATGAACTTTTCACAACACTGTAGTGTTAAATGACACGGAAGATGTTTTTCTAGCTGACATGATTGTTCTACTTATTTGTCACTGGTTCTTTCTTCTATCACTCTTCTCTACTAAATCTAATTTTTTTAAATTTTTATTTTAGCATGCCCACCTACAAAAGAGGTTTTGAAGTCTGTTCCTATGATATCAATTATGCTTTTGACTGTTGTAGAGAGTTTTCTTTTGCTACCTTATTTTAAAAAAAAAAGAAAGTTCTGGCACCAATTACTCAGTTTGCCTTTTTCTCAACAGGTTTGTGCAGCGTTTGTTCAACTAATTGAAGTTCGTCCTGCCTTTTTGGAGGTGACATCTATTTCCACTCTAAATTAATTGCCTATTCTCTTATTTGTCACATCTCCTTTCCGCTTGCACTTGCTTTTATGTGCGGAAAGAGTTCCAGGTTTCTAAACGTTTTAAAATTTTAAATACAATGAAGTAACAACATTTTGAAGGAACAGTATTTTTAACTGTAAGTTTATTTTGATTTGTACTTTTTGATTGTTTGAGGTTTATTATTGCCTTTTTTTTTAATAAGTGAAGATATCATTGAACTGCACCAAGCAAGTCTTATTATTGTCTTATTGGGATTAGGGGGAATGGGGGCAAAATGCCGCATCACTTGTGCACTGTCAATGAATCAACTAAGCAATCAACTACACCTTAATCCCAAACTATTTAGGCTTAGCGATATGAATCCTCTATATTAGGATACTGTTTGGAAGTTGAATTCATTATAGAAGGTTTAAACTACTGGTTCCACTTCCTGATTTCCCTTTTAGGTATTACATATACGTTATATGCAGGGAGTTTTAGGAAAAAGAAAAACTGAACAGTCTGTACACTTTAATTAGTGGTCTTGCCTGAGAGAGTGAGAGGAACATGGAACTGCATACTCCTATTCTTTTAACATGTTCTTAATCAACTTCTGGTCCTTTGACACAGCCGCACTTAAGGAATGTTATAGAATATATATTGCAAGTCAACAAGGATCCAGATGAAGAAGTGGCACTTGAAGCTTGTGAATTTTGGTAACCTTCCCCTTTTCAGTGCTTCAATTTTAGATATCACTGGCATGATAATTGTGTCAACGGTGGAGGAAGCATACACCATTTTGCTGGAAATTGTTTACTAATCTTTGCATTGAGAGCACAATATTCTTCATTATTATGCTATAGATTTATTCTGTTTTTGATAAAATGGTTGATGGAATTGTAAAGATGATATACTATTTAACATGGTTTGGGAACCTTTAGTGACATGTTATGTTGGTGCTAAGCTTTTGTTGCCGTTAGGTGTAATTGGATGTTTGTCTCTATTTTGAAGTGTGTCTAGGTTTCCTTTGCCTGAATGGACTGAATTCAAATTTCAATAAGCTGGTTGGCGAAAATATACATTTATCATTCGTTTTAAAGCTATACTTGATATTAGAGATCACATGAGCTCCATGCACCCTCCACTTAAGATATTTTGGATACGCGTGCATTGTTAGAAGAATTTTAGCTAGCATGGCGAGGACTCAAAGAAGTTAGGCGAGATTATTGTATTAGAGAGTTAGTAAGAGATGTTTGTAAACGATAGTTAAATCATTTTAGGATGAAAGGACTAGATGCCAAATAAATTGGGATGGAGAACATACAACAACTGCACTTCAATCTCAAGCTAGTCGGGCCGGTTAATCCTTAGCTATCAACAGTTTGTCTTTTTGGAGAAATAGGAGATTCTCTAAATTTCATACCTATTCTGCACTCAATCTCTATGCAACATTAGTAGATCTCTGTCAAGCACTACACTTAGTGTAAGTGTGTCAATAACGACTAACCTTAATCCTGATCAGTTGGTCACGTCTATACAGATGCTTTGCATCGATGGATGTAGAACATAGATTAGGAAAAGAGTCTCTACAATAATGAAGAGGGAGTTAAGTAATAAGGAGATCATTAAGATTATTAAGATTATACTTAATTGGGAGGGAAGAGCCAGAGCAATGTGAGAATTGTTTTAGATACCGTGTGAGAGAGAATGAGTTAATAGATACTGACTGCTTGAAATTTGGTGTAATGACACTGTAAACCTTTCCAGTTACCTTGCAAGTCATGGAAGTGTACCATAGAAATAATGTGCGTAATGATATGTGGTGAGCCTCAAATAGAGCCCCCTATGAGTATTTTCTTTTTCTTTATGTGAACTATGTAGAAAATGTTATGGCACCCAAGAATTGCACCTATTATTAATACAGAAGGATAGATTTGCTTAAGTTCTTCTAGAGTTCTACTTGCTGGATATCTTCCTCTTTTTTGTGGTCGGGGCTGCATTATGTTTCATAAATAAACTATGCTCTTGGGTGCTCGAAGTTTTTGCTTTTACCTGTTCTGTCTGCTCTCAAAAATCTCACGTTATGGTTGAGAATTGTTGCTTTGTTTTGGATAATTGGGAATCTTCTATTGCGAATTGATGTCTCTTGTCAAATTTGATTGGATGTGGGTGTCATTGACAGGTCCGCATACTTTGATGCTCAGTTGCCCCCCGAAAACTTGAGAGAATTCTTGCCACGGTTGATTCCGGTATGCTTTATCCACAAACTATTTATCTTTTTCATATTGGTATTATGTGTCTTCTGTCTTAGCATATTCTTATGCATAATGCTTCCTGCACCACTTTTAGGTTTTGCTGTCTAACATGGTTTATGCTGATGATGACGAGTCACTTCTGGAGGCTGAGGTTTGGTGTTTAGTTCATCTTCAGATGTCAAATAAGTCTGAAATGATTTGTTGTGTTCTGTTTTTGCTTAACCAAACATTAATGTTTTATTACAGGAGGATGGCTCTCTGCCAGATCGTGATCAGGTTTGGTTGTCATTTCTCCTTTTTAGCTAAAAAACTAATCCTTTCCATTTGGCAACTTGACATTAATTACATTGGAAGTCATTATGGACAGGATATCAAACCTAGATTTCATTCTTCACGTTTTCATGGTTCAGAGGATGGTGAAGATGATGATGTATGTGGTTTAATTGACCAATCATTTTCTTAATTAGTGCTCACTTTTTCTATGGCCTTTGATATCAGCATTATGCTTCCTAATTATAGGATGAAGACATAGTAAATATGTGGAACTTACGCAAGTGCAGTGCAGCTGCTCTGGACATTCTCTCAAATGTGTTCGGTGATGATATTCTACCAATGTTGATGCCTGTTGTTCAGGTGATTGATTATTTGTGAAATTAAATCCAGCTATTCATTCCTAGCTTTCATCTCTCTCTCTCTCAAAGAGGTAAAGAAAGGAAATTCTTTACTCAGATGTTTGCATACTGACGAAGATTGGTATTGATTCCCCAGAAGGTTGTGTCTCTGAATTTTATGCTTCTGACTGATGGCAACTGAATTTGAAAAAAGATTTCAATGATTAGGAGATGGAGGAAGTTGGGCAATTAATACAATTATTGACTACAGCAAGTGGTAGAAGGAGATAAGGAGGGTGTTATGCTATGGGCAGCAAACAGTTAACAGTGATATGAAATACTCTGTTAAAGCAGTTGTAGCATTTTGCAAAAGCAGTCACAGTACTTTGAGCCAAATTGGCCATGGAAAATGATATGGAAGTCCAAAGCACCTGTCAAGGTAGCTTGTTTTGGGTGGGTTGCGATCAGAGAAGCATGCTTAACCCAAGACAATTTGCAGAGGAGAGGTTTCATGTTAAGTCCATCTTCCTGAGCCGAGGGTCCATCGGAAACAACCTCTCTGCCCTATCGGGGTAGGGGTAAGGTCTGCGTACTCACTACCCTCCCAGACCCACTTTGTGGGATCTTACTGGGTTGTTGTTGTTGTTGTTGTAGGTTTCATGTTAAGTAATACTCCCTCTGTTCAAATTTATGTGAACCTGTTTGACTGGGCACGGAGTTTAAGAAAAAATGAAGACTTTTGGAATTTGTGGTCCTAAACAAGTCAGAAAAGGGTCCAGAGTATTTGTGTGGTTATAAAAGCTTCTCATTAAGGGTAGAATTGGAAGTTTAAGTTAAATTGTTTCCAAATTTAGAAAGCGTTCATTCTTTTTGGAACGGACCAAAAAGGAAATAGGTTCACATAAACTGGAACTGAGGGAGTAGATGTTATCTTTGTGAAGAGGATCTGGAATCAGTCAATCACCTTTTTATCCATTGCAAAGTGGTCAAGCAGTGTTGGGAGGTCTTCCTAAATTTGTGTGGTGTAGTTTGGGTAATGCCTTCAGATGTTAGAAGTCTAATGGAAAGCTGGAATAGGCAGAAGATAGCAAACAACCAGAAGAAGTTTTGGAGGACTATACCTTGGTGTATTTTCAGGACAATTTGGACTGAGAGAAATAGTGCTTGCTTTGAGAACAAAAAGAATCATATTTCTAGAGTCAATGACCTTTGTCTACAAAATCTGTTTCTTTTGGCGTGAGTGGAAGATCAGTATATGGATTTCTTAGAATCATTTGGGAATTATGTAACTTGAAATTATTGTAGGGGTTGTTTGTTTCTGTTGTGTACCTTCTTGGTACCTTTATTAATAAAACTTTAACCTTATAAAATATGCTAGGTTAAATTATATGTTAAGATGCTATAGATAAATGATTGTGAAAATAGTCTTGTGCAATTTAAAATAAAGGGGAACAAATAAATTATCATAAATGGCCTATATCTTGACGGGCCTGTTCTCATCAAATAAGTGGTTGTTGCCCATAACAATAGCAGAACTCTTCCCTCTAGGCAGCAATTCCCTTAGAGGAGCAATATTACATCAATTTGAAGAATTGAAGTTTTATCGTCGTGTGTAGAAACACTGATCATACTAATGAAAGAAGGAAATGAGAGAAACTAGAACTGAAGTTAATTTTGTCCTTTTACCTTTTGGTTAGTAGTTCGCGATAAATGGATCTAATACATTGCAACTTTCTTGTATCTGGACAGACTAAATTGTCAAATACGAGTGATGAAGCCTGGAAGGAAAGGGAAGCAGCTGTATTAGCTCTGGGTGCTATAGCTGAAGGCTGCCTAAATGGGCTTTTCCCTCATTTATCGGAGGTAATCCTATCATTGACAAGCTTCCTAGAAAAAAAATTTGCGTTGATGAAAGAGATTGTATATAAAATGTATGAGAAGTTTGGTTTCTGAGCGCCATCACGTCATGTCTTTCTTTGCAATTTATTGCTGGTTTTTTCTTTCGGGAAGTGAGTGGTATATATGTTCTGAGATATGCACATATTGTAGAAACTTGTCTTTTAAAAGTTCTTTCTTTTCATTTCTTTTTTTCCCCATTCAGATCATTACCTTTCTCATCCCACTTTTAGATGACAAGTATCCTCTAATACGAAGCATCTCTTGTTGGACACTGTCCCGCTTCAGCAAATATATCGTTCAGGTTGGTAATAAATGCTCCTTTTCTAGCTCTAAGCTACATTATCATACATGTGACTTAAATGACCACCATATTTACAAAGAGTTTGTGGCGATCCTAAACCACCGACCCTTCTTGGGTCAAATTCATTACAACGATGTGGTATTTTCTCGTTTCAGGGTTTAGTGTTTTATAGTTGTCACCCTCAAATAGATATATTTGTAGGAATGTTGTTTATACTTTCAGTTGTAAATTTGTAATAGAGAATGGGTAAAGCAGTGGTTACAAACTGGAAAATAGTTTTCAGCCCCAAGCCTTGCCTGACATGGGGGTATGAGGTGTTGTTTAAGTTGCTGATATATCTACATTTGTTGATCTTAGGGTTAAGAATATTGTGAGATTTAGATGAACTGGTCCAATGTGGTCATCGCGTACCTGACTAATCTGAATGCCCCAATATCGACTGTTAAAATTAAGTTTTGGTGCTTTTACTAATTATCAAGTACGTAATTATTATATATACTTAATGTTATAGCACTTATATATGTTAGCTTGTTGAAGTTATCCTGCACCAATTCCTATTCAGAAAAAGTTGCACTACTTGTTTCCGACTGTTGAAGTTTTTATTTGCTGCTTGAGACCCTTTTTCCTTTTTGTTAATTTCAGTTCTCCGTTTGACTGAAATTAAGTCTCCTTTGCAATATGTTGGCATCACTGGATAATTTCTATGTTTTCGTGCTGTTTGTTTGACTTTCTTTTAGGGCACTGATCATCCAGAAGGCCGTGAACAATTCAACAAAATTTTGATGGGTCTTCTGCGGAGAGTATTGGATGATAATAAACGAGTGCAAGAAGCTGCTTGTTCAGCTTTTGCTACTCTTGAAGAGGTCTTGTGCTAAGCTGTTGTAATATTCAGGTTCTGTTATATGTATACCTAACTGATGGTTTACTTTTTGCAGGAGGCTGCAGAAGAGTTAGCACCATGCTTGGAAATCATTCTGCAACATTTGATGTGTGCCTTCGGAAAATACCAGGTCTTTTTGTCTTCCCTACATTGGCTGACACCTTGCTGTGTTTCTGTTTGTTAAAAGCGTCTGACCTTTTATTTGTCCATAGAGACGGAACCTTAGAATCGTGTATGATGCCGTTGGAACATTGGCAGATGCAGTTGGAGGGGAACTTAATCAGGTAGATTATGTGCCTCACTCTTTTTGTGTTAGCTAACATGTTAACTCGTTAGTGCTCCTTTGGTTTTATGATTTTTGGTTATGTTTAAAGAAATTTAGTCGGCTTGTGATATCTGATTTTTGCTTTTTTTAATTCTTTTGTTGGTTAACACAGCCAAGGTATCTCGAGATTTTGATGCCCCCTTTAATTGGAAAGTGGCAGCAACTACCAAATTCAGACAAGGATCTTTTCCCGCTGCTGGAGTGCTTTACGTCAATAGCTCAGGTTGATTTTCTTTTTTTTGATGAAAAAAAGTGGTACACGTGGCATTTATTGCTGTTAGTACTGCCTTAAATGCGTCAACATTTTCAAGTAAATGTTTTGCATGTTTTTATGGTTCCCTTCTCTTTGTGAGCTGATATATCATTGTCATTTAGTATTGCTGCAGGTTCTTAGCAGTGATTGGTTAAATTACTTTTTCTTTTTGGTGTGGTCTTGTAAAATATTTGGATGAACATATTGACTTATTGTTATTCGTAAGCCTTTGGTCTGATATTCTTGCATCTTATAGTTTCTGGACTGAAATTATAGGTGCATTACTTTGTTATTTGTCTTTATTATCCTTGTTGGTTGGTTTGTTTTGTGTGTGTGGTGGTGGGAGGGGGGAGGGGGGAGGTTGAGTTTTCAATTTTAAGCATAATGGTCATTTACGAGACTCTTTTGCATCATCCTATGTTGAGGAGCTAAAAACTAATTGAGTAGGGTATCTCTTGTGTCTCTGAGTTACATTGGGCATTCTAGCTTAAAATTTTTAGCAGGAGCTTTCTTTTATTGTTTATTTTGCATTCTTCAAAGTGTCTGCAGTAGTTTGGTAAATGATGCTGTTTGACTATCGTAAATTGCAGGGATATAAAAAGAGTCTGGTTGACAAATTGTGGAGGTTTACTTATTATTTATATGTCTAGGTGGTAGGATCTTTGTCAATCTTGGTTACTGTCTCTCCAAATTATGGTTGCTTTCTCTCCAATCACGCTTGTACATTATGGCTTTTCATTATTCAGCAGGGAACTTCCCTGTTTAGTCCTGAATCTGGGGCATACCTTCAAAGTTTCAGAGAATAACTTCTGTTTCATTATTTTATATTGCTAGCACGTTATGTGACCATGCTAGACTTTGTTTGTGCTGTCTAGATGTTTATTGTTGTAGAAAACTACATATGCAAGTACTCTCAGATGTGAAACAGCATAGAACCACATATTATAGATATCCATTCCTTTCTTTCAGGCATTGGGTACTGGATTTGCACCGTTTGCTCAACCTGTATTTCAGAGGTGCATTACCATCATCCAGTCGCAACAATTGGCGAAGGTTTTATACAATACTATATCCTGTTGTTTTCTATCTCTGATTTGAGTGCTTCGGTTCTTTTCTTTCTTTTATATTTGTTGATAGATATAAATTGGCTAATACTTTCTATGAAAGACAAGTTTTTCACTGTTTATATTAGATGGTCCAAGTCATCCTTCTAGTCACCTACATGCACATTTTGAACACCCCCCCTCCCCCACAAAAGAAAAAACCAAGGAAAAAGCAGAAAGAAAGAGACACACAGCAGCACATGTTGGCCTTGGAAGTCTATAGTGATGTTTGCAATCTTTTTGAGTGTGTTGCACTCTCTCTACATTCACAACCATACATATAACAACAACAACAACAACAACAACAACAAACCCAGTGTGTAATCCCATAGGTGGGGTCTGGGGAGGATAGTGTGTACAGACCTTACTCTTACCTTGTGAAGGTAGAGAGACTGTCTCTAATAGATCCTCGGCTCAAAGAAAGACGAAAAAGAAGCAGTAACAACAAGAAGATACTAAGACACCAGAACGAAAGAGATAACATGGAGTAGTAGAAATCTATGAATCAGAAAATATGAGAATATAGGACAGCCAAAGCGAAATTGGAGAATACAAGAATAGTACTAATACTACTGGTATGGAAAAGAAATACGTTCCTACTAACCATCTACCCCAATTCTCGATATCCACACCCTTCTATTAAGGATTATGTCCTCGGTAAGATGGAGCTGTGCCATCTCCTGCCTAATCACCTCTCCCCAATACTTCTTTGGCCTATCTCTACCTCTCCTTAACCCATCTAAGCCAACCTCTCACACCTCCTCACTTCGGCATCTTTGCCTCTCCTCTTCACATGCCCGAACCATCTTAGCCTCATTTCCGCATCTATTTCTCCATGGGGGCACACCCACCTTGTATCGAATATCTTCATTCCCTAATCTTATCCCTCTTGGTATGTCAACATATCCATCTCAACATCCTCATATTTGCTGCTTTCATTTTTTGGATATGTGATTTCTTGACTGGCCAACACTCAGCCCCGTACAACAAAGTCAGTCCAACCACCACTTTGTAGAACTTACATACTCATTAGTGGCATATTTTTATCACACAAAACACCGGATGCGAGCCTCCATTTCATCCACCTCGCTTCGATACGATGTGTGACATCCTCGTCAATCTCCCCATCACGTTGGATTACTGATCTAAGATACTTGAAACTCTCTTTCTTGGGGATGACTTATGAGTCCATCATAATGTCCACGTCCGCTTTTAGTCACATTATTGAACTTGCACTCCAAGTATTCCGTCTCGGTTCTGCTCAACTTGAAACTTTTTGACTCCAAGGCTGTCTCCAAACCTTCAGCCTCGCATTAATGCCGCCTCGCGTCTCGTCAATCAGTACTATGTCATCTGCAAATAACATGCACCATGGAACCTCCTTTTGGATGTCCCGGGTCAGAACGTCCATCGCCAAAGCAAATGAAAACGGACTAAGGGTTGAGCCTTGGTGCAACACCATCACAACTGGAAAGTGTTTTGACTTTTGAGTCTCCTCCCACAGTCCTAACCCGAGTTTTAGCACCATCATACATGTCCTTAATCAGCATAGTGTAAGCTACAAGGACACCTCTAACCTCCAAACACCTCCATAGAACCTCTCTCGGTCTTTGTTGTATGTTCTTTATGTCAATAAACACCATATGCAAGTCCCTCTTCCTCTCCTTTTACTGTTCCACCCATCTCCTTACCAGGTGAATGGCTTCCGTAGTCGATCGGTCCGGCTTGAACCGAACTGGTTCCTGGAAATACACACTCCTCCTCACCCCCGCTTCGACCACCCTTTCCCAAACTTTCATAGTGTGGCTTAACAACTTGATATCCCTGTAATTGTTGCAATTCTAGATATCACCTTTGTTCTTGTACAACGGAATCATCGTACTCCACCTCCATTCTTCGGGGATCTTTTTCATCCTAAGAATGACATTAGACAACCAATAAGCTACTCCAAGCTTGCTTGCCAGTGTTCTTCCAAAATTCCACCGCGTTTTCGTCTGGCCTGGTCGCTCTACCCCTGCTCATCTTACGCATAGCCCCCTCAACCTCCTCAACTTTTGTACCCCTACGGTACCCAAAATCACGACGACTCTCGGAGTGCTCCAGCTCACCCATCACAATGTTCCTGCCCCCCCCCCCCCCTCAAGAGTTTATAAAAGTATGTCTGCCATCTTCGTCTAATCACAGCCTCACATATATATTATATTATTTCTATTTTGTTTGTATATTTGAATTTGGGGAATTCTCTTATTAAGTCTTACTGTTTACTTTATAGTATGTTGCGACAATTTTCTGAATTTGGGGTGTCCTCTTTTAGCTTGTCGCATAGTTTATATTTTTATTTTACGGTTGCTATAATGAGAAGGTTGAACCCTTTTCATTGCAAGGTCAGAGGGTTATGCTTCTTTCAGTTGCATGCTTTTTGTTCTTGATAAGCAACTTATTCATTTACCCCCCCTGAGCCCCGACTTCTAAGATGCTCTGTTCTCTGCTCACTATTACTGAGTTTTGATTGCAGGTTGATCCTGCTTCAGCTGGATTACAATATGACCGAGAATTTATTGTTTGTTCTTTGGACCTGCTGTCTGGACTTGCTGAAGGTCTTGGCACTAGTATTGAGAGTTTGGTAATTCTTTTTCCTCCAAAACTGATGCATGCATTGAATTTCAAGTTGGTTTTCTCTGATTGTTCTTTCCAACCATTATATGTCACTTGTTTCACATTTTGGTTTCTGTGCTTGAAATAGTACTTTCAGTATTCTGATACCAAGCTGCATGGACAATCTTATTTTATGTTTCAATATGGAATTGCAATTTCTCTAGGTTTCACAAGGTAATTTAAGGGATTTGCTGCTGCAATGTTGCTTGGATGATGCACCTGATGTTCGGCAGAGTGCCTTTGCTTTGCTTGGTGACCTTGCAAGGGTAAGTTGATACCTAACCTTTGAGCTTGAGCCACTTCATAGGCTTCAGCTTCTATCTGAATTTCTTTAGTACGGTCTTAATGTAGTTAGCATTGTGATTTCTGTTTGGAAATCCAAATGCCTTGAAAAGGCATTCTTTCTTTTCGCAGCTAACGTTCTTTTGCTTGTTGCTACTAGGTTTGTTCCATTCATTTGCGGCCTCGGTTGGCGGAATTTCTTGATGCTGCCACTAAGCAACTGGTATGAACTACTCTTCTCTTTCTTAATGTGTTTCCAGCTGTTTGATTCCTTGTCATATTTACTCCATAGATGCTTTTACAGGACACTTCCAAGCTGAAGGAAACCATTTCTGTGGCCAACAACGCATGTTGGGCAATTGGTGAATTAGCAATCAAGGTAATTTTGACAAATTTGTTGCTCCCAAGATCATTATTGCTCCCAAGATCATTAGATCCGGATTAGATGAAGAAGTGATGTAATGTTTGTAGAATGTGATATTACTCAGAAAACTCCCCACTATGTTTATCTAAAAAGAAAAAGGGAGGAAGAAAGAAAAAGTTAAGAAAAACACAAAGAAGCCCTTTTATGTCACCTAATACAACAACAACATGCCCAGTATTATCCCACACCGTGAGATCTGGGGAGGGTAGTGTGTATGCAGACCTTACCCCTACCTTGTGAGGATAGAAAGGTTATTTCCAATAGACCCTCAGCTCAGGAAAGCATAAGCACCGCATTAATGAAAATATAGACAAAAAGGGACAGTACCAAAAAGCCATATAAAAGCAGAATAAAAACAACAAGACAGTAAGTTGATCAACAATGAAAGAAAACGGTTAGTCATAAAAACCTACTACCAACAGAAAGCGAGACTGCGTGCCAATACTATTGTTATGAACACTCTAGACTACCTACTCTACTACCCTAATCCTCGACCTCCATACCTTCCTATCAAAGGTCATGTCCTCGGTCAGCTGAAGCTGCGTCATGTCTTGCCTAATCACCTTTCCCCACCTCTTCTTTGGCCTACCTCTACCTCTTCGTAGGCCCTCCAATGTCAACCTCTCACACCTCCTCACCGGGGCGTCTGTGTTTCTCCTCCTCACATGACTAAACCACCTAAGCCGCGCTTCCCGCATCTTGTCCTCAATAGGGGCCACTAGGGGTGGGCATAATACCGACCGAACCGAAAAAACCGGCCGAACCGTAAATTTCGGTTTTTCGGTTTCGGTTTAATCGGTTTTTCGGTCGGTGCACGATTTTAAAATTATTAATTTTCGGTTTTTCGGTGCGGTTTACGGTTTTTGTATTTCGGTTTTCGGTTAAACCGAAAAACCGAACTTTTCCAAAGTCATGTTTGAATTCTCACTTATCCTTTTTGCTTGGTTCGATGCGTTAACGTTGCAGAACTCTGGAGCAAGAATATGTACGATATATGTGCATTAATAATGGTTGAAGCAGCTTTTCCAGCATATAAATATTGTTTCCGGCTATCTTTTTCAAAACAAGAATTACATTAATTTGTTAAGTAGCGCTAGGATAGAGCATGCCCTCTTCTCTAACATGTTGTAAATATGCATGTCCACAGTAGACTTGAAAATTATAAACCAATTACATATATGAAAGATACACGTCTATATCTTTCTGTTGTATGCAAAATATTTTGGACTTTTAGTATTTGAAAAGTTACTGGTGTTCCATACTACTAGTGTTTGTGCCTAAACGCTATAATTGGTGAGGGGGAATGAATTGCCACAATACAGTGTATTGAATACACATTATTTATAGGAGTCTTTAGACATTGTATTGTACATAATTATATAAGGACAGACTTCGCTGTTCCTACGAGTCTACAACCGTTTGAAACCGAAAATATAAACCGAAAATAACCGAACCGAACTTTGAAACAATCGCATCGAACCGTAAATATTTTGGTTTGATTTGGTTATTAATATTACAAAACGGAAAACCGATTAACCGAACCGTATTTTTATAATAACCGACCGAACCAACCGATGCCCACCCCTAGGGGCCACACCCACCTTGTCGCGAATAACCTCATTTCTAATCCTATCTAGCCTGGTGTGCCCGCACATCCATCTCAACATCCTCATCTTTGCTACCTTTCTCTTCTGCAAGTTTGTTGTGTGAGAGAGCACTTGTTCTTTTATGCTCTTGTGACTAAAATCATGTGTATGGACAATCAATCAATAAGATAGTTTTTCCTTATGATAGACTTTTCTGAAAATAGGATATAGCAGGAACAAAAACTGATTGATAACACTGAAAATACAGAATTTACTTCAGCATGTCTGAAATAACCACGCCAACACTGAGAACTCCCTAATTAAAGCATAAAACACGAAATGACATTCAGACAGAATAGAGTAATTACTGAAATGGATACAAGTGACAGAGACACAGTACATAACATTGAAATTATACAGACATGACACTTCTAGACATTTGAGAGGCTAGAACTCTCCCAAGGATTCGTTTTTTTGTTTGAATACTTATCTGCAAAAACTCCCTGCCGCCTTTCTCCAGGAAAGCTACCCAATACATGAGTAACTGTCTCATGGCAGTTACTAACTTTTCAATTTGTTATTTTTGGCCTCCTGGAGTAAGAATTTATAAAATGAGGTCCATCACCTTATCAGGTAACAAGAATCTTATTGAAGACGGGAATAAACCTGCATGGATATGCCAAAAAGTAGACAGTATATGAAAGTATGGTTCTTTGCAAAGTGCACCTAATCTTTCATATAGACTGGCAACCTCAGGCACACCAAAAGGAAATTAGAAGAGGCAATTTCTGATATGTACAGAATCCGACTCTACACCGTCAATATATCATTCCTCTCCGTCAATGTTGTTAAATTATCCCACGTTGGTTGAGGGAATGAGTCGCTGTCCCCTTACATGATTATGGACAATCTTTACCTCATGAGCTAGCGTTTGTGGTTGAGTTGGGTCTAAGGTCCATTTTCTTAACATGATATTAGAGTCTCTCCTACTCAGACTGGCATATCTCCACATAGTCATTGAGGCCTTTATTAATACTCATTCCATCAAGTGGAGTGTTAAAATGGGAAATAGGAGAGTTGTGGGCTGGCTTTGAATCCAGTGCAGTTTAGGTTTTCTGCCAAAGTAAAAGCAAAGATATCCCTAGATCTAGTGTAGAAGCATCATCCAGAGCTATGACTCTTGGAAGTAGTGAGCTTCTTTGGTCGAAACTTCTCCAAGAGACTGCCTAGCTGACAAACTGATGAAGCTAATATGTGACCCTCAAGTTGTTTGTCACATAGCCTCAAACTCAGTTTTTCATGAGAGGACAAAACATACAGAGGTGCACTTACATTTTTCTGAAGACAAATATATATACCTTTCATGTGTGCAGTTCTTCTTTTGACTGCTTCTGTGCTCCGTTTTTTGTGTCTGGACTTAAATTTCCAATAGATACCATGCATTTTCTTTGGTCTTGTTTTATGGACCACGAGTTTGATGTGAGACGTCATAATTTCAGGTTCATAAAGAGATATCTCCAGTAGTCCTGTCTGTCGTCTCGTGCTTAGTACCAATCCTTCAACATGCTGAGGTAATTATCTGTTTTATATCTAAGATTGAAATATTTTATGATTGTTATGCCAGTAGGACATATAGAGAACTTCTAATATTTTTCGTTTTTATTTTTCATTTTGGTTTGTATGATTTTGGCCTGGGATGAATTTAAATGTGGAGCATGGTTTGTGAGTATTCATATGGCCAGTCCCAGCTTGTTTGGGGCTGAGGCGTAGTTATTGTTGTTGTTTGTTTGGTTAATTCTGTTGTTTGTATATGCCTACCTGCATGTATGTTGTGGCCAAGTTTGTGTTTTGTTTTGTCTTGCTCATTTTATATTTGATTCTGAAAAGGGTCTCAACAAGTCACTGATAGAAAACAGTGCTATCACCCTTGGAAGACTTGCATGGGTTTGTCCGGAGTTTGTGTCACCGCATATGGAGCATTTTATGCAAGCATGGTGCTTTGCCCTGTCTATGTAAGTTTACTCCAATTGCAATTGTTCCATTCGTTTGTGACTGGCGGTTTGCATCGTACAAGTATGAACTGTTAGTTTTTTGCATTAAACATAGAGAATCGCAGTCAAGCTGGCCAAATATGTCTAACGAATGTTAGACTGGCTTACTCCATTTACTTAAACAAATGTCACTTAACATACCTCCATCCGAGCATGGTAATACTGTTTAACTGAAGTTGGGTAGCTAAATCCCAAAAGACCTGCTTTAGAAATTTTTCGCTTTAACTTGCTGAACACCAAAGTGAAATTATTTTAGTGACTGATAGTGCATGGTAAAAAGTAGAACGTTTTCTTCGAAGCCATGGTATGTGTTTGTGTTTTTTGTTCTTACGTAATGGGAGTGGATGCATATGTGTGAGGTCGTAGAGCAGATGGTTGAATGTAAGTAGTTTCTGTAGTGTTGTTTTTCTTTTAAGTTCATCATGTTTTGGGAGGTGGAAAAAATGAAAAAGGTGATAAAAACTTTGGCTACCCATTTTTCCTTTGCCGCAGTACTAGTGCACTAGTTAGTCAAGCTTGCCTGAGAAGAAAACCCCCATTTCACAATGTGAACTTAGTGAACTTGTCTTTTCCTTTTCCAATTCATGAAAATGAATGTGATGAAGATCTCTGATTGGTAACCCGCACATTCCTGATCTCCTCCGCACCTATCATTGTTGTTGTGTTAGTTCTGAGGTGTTCACATCAAGTATTGATGTTTGAGCTGTGTTCAGCACTATTATAGTGCACAAAATGCCTTGTTGATGACCGACAACTTGCATTCTTTTTCTGGCAGGATACGTGATGATATTGAGAAGGAGGATGCCTTTCGTGGTTTATGTGCAATGGTAGTTTTGTCTTTTAATATTGCCTCTTCAGTCAGATCACAATGACTGAATACTGCTAAATTCTTATGAATATCCTATTATTGACAGCTTTTGATTTCTGCCTTTTTAAGCCTGAAAATCTTTATAGCCCAACCTCAAGCACTGAACTGGTTTGACAAGACTAAATTCTGAATGCCATAAAATTGGGAAAGTACCTCTTTGTAAAAAAAAAAAAATTAACTTTACTTTGTCCTCTCTCTTTACCACTTACATCACTTAGTAAATTGGGACACTATCTCTTTGTGAATGCGATGAAGAAGATGCCCAATTGACTTAGAGGTAGTCATGATTTTATATCAAACTAGAGATTTGGTACTATAGGTGCAATATCATTCAGTATAATCAACTATTACTTTATTAACGAGAAGGAAAAATTTAATGAAAGACTTCAAATTATGACAGATATAGATTTATCAAACAAATTATGGCAGAATATCAATGTATCGTGGAAAATTATGGCAGAATATCCATGATGGATACAAATACTATAGAAATGCAAGACGTTCTCGTAAATTCAAAACCAGTGAAGAGTTATTCTTTAGAACCTGTTAAATTTATTATCTGAATGGAGGAGTGTCTTTACTCGGTTTCATTTTTTCCAGGTTAAGGCAAATCCATCAGGTGCAATGAATTCACTTCTCTTTATGTGTAAAGCCATTGCAAGTTGGCATGTAAGCTTTCTATTTTCTATTGTATTTCAATAGTGGAGGGAAATAAGAAATTCGGAGAACTTTCCTTATGGTTGTGATCCTTTTCAGGAGATAAGAAGCGAAGATCTACACAAAGAAATCTGTCTGGTTCTGCAAGGATATAAGCAAGTAAGCACTGCTTGATATAATACTCCCTCCATCCCAATTTATGTGAAGGTGTTTGACTAGGCACAGAGTGTAAGAAATAAAGGAAGACTTTTGAAACTTATGGTCTAAAACAAATCGCAGATATTTGTGTGGCTAGAAATCATCTCATTAAGGGTAAAAAGGAAAATTTAAAGTTGAATTGTTACTAAATATAGGAAGCTGTCATTCTTTTTGGAACTGACTAAAAATGAAAGAATGTCACATAAATTGGGACGGAGGGAGTAGTTTTTTGTGGCATAATACCTAACTATCCTCGTGAGCTTGAAATTATTTATTGGTGCGCAGTGCATAGGACAAAAATAGTTCAGGTGTGCACCGAATAAACGGTGCCAAGTTCGGGTTATATTGATGCATTAAGCTTTTCTTTTTTTATCTGCTAGAAGGGTGTCTTTTCATGATGTCTTTATCGTTTTACTCGCTAATTTGTGAGTAGATCTTTGAGGGTTTTCCTGACCAATTTGCTTCTGGGATGCCACTAGTTTAACATTGGCTCTGATGAAATTATCTTTCTGTTTCCTTAATGAATTCTTTTGTTGTTTCATCTGGAGATGAACCTGGTGAATAAATGGGGAAAAAGAAGAAAAGTATTTCATTTTTCTCATGAGCTCTCACTGGTATATTATCTGGAGGTATAAGATGTCTAATGCATTATTCTGAGGTTGGAAATATTTTGCCAGATGCTCAAGGATGGTGCTTGGGAACAGTTTATGTCAGCTTTGGAGCCCTCAGTGAAGGACAAGTTGTTAAAGTATCAAGTTTAATTTCTTATTGACAGAGAATGTCTTCCAAGTTCCAATGCTTGTTGTCATGGCTATATTATACTTCAGATCTATGGATCTATTTGCTTCTTGTTCGTTTGAGTCTTAGCATTATCTGATTGTTGTTGAGCCGTGCATGTGGAGCAAGCACAAAGTTTTGGGTTCAATTTCCTCCATGGAACATTCTCGTTGAAGATTGAAGCTATTCATATTCTTTCGAAGCTTCAGTTGCTCTGGTTTTGGACACAGCAGTTATCCTGGAAGCTGAGGTTCAACATATTAAGTGTACAGGTGTGCTTCGTTACAATTGCATTTTATTTTTTGTGTCTGTCCCGAATCTATTGAAGGAGGTGATCCTAAGTTCTTGGGTAATTGTGTTTGATAATTTCTTCTCGGGTTAAGGAGCAATTTTTCTTATTTTTAACTTTACAATTGTAAGGTTCCATTTGTTGGTTTAAGTCTACATAGCATGTCTGACAATTTGTTTTTTCACCTTTTCTTCTGGAGGATAGAACTAGATGGTCTGTTGGGAGGTCGAATGAGGTGAGCAATAATAATAGTCTGTACTTTGTGGTTTATTGGTGGGGGTTTACGTATACATACCTTTGAAAGGAATTATTGTAACATCTTTTTATCCTGCGATAATGTCTTCATTCCCCGTCTATAGAAAATATGAAAAATATTTGATAGTTATGATTCAAACGACATTGTGTTCGAAGATACTTTATTGAAGATTCTGAGTGTAAATGTTCAATTGAATTTTGTTAAGAATTGCTGCATTGGTTTTAATGTCTGCATGTGCTGGTGAACCCCCCCCCCCCCCCCCCAAACCCTCCCCCAAAATCTATTTCTGAAAATTGAATCGAAATTCCCCATCTCTCTATTCAAAATAATGATCGCATCATAGCCTCTGAAAATGGGGCATTCGAAGCATCACTCTCATTCTATACTCTGCAACGTGATTGAAAAAATCTACTTGTAACCTTGAGGAAGTATTGCCCCTTCAGTGATATCTAAGACATTGTATATATAGTTATCTCCATATGGATAGCCAATGGATTGAAACGACTAATACTCATATAAGATTGAAGTTATTTCCTAGGATATTCAATTGTGGTGAGTGATAGAATATGGTGGTGCTATTGAAACACTCACTAGCAAAGCCACATTTGTGTCTGTTGAATATGAAATGCAGATATACAGTATATTCTGTTTACTACTATGCTGCATTTTCTAACTTTTCCCAAATTTCTTTTCTTCTCATATCTTCTATGCGTTCCACGGCTTCTTGGATTTCAAGTTGTAAAAGGCACTTGGAATACAGAAATGGTGCTAGCGCTTCTAGCATTCTCTTCACATTTTCTGTCAATTGTCGAACATTTTTGCTCCAATGCCCCTCCAGATTTTTCTCCATCCCTTCAACTAGAACTGGGAACACCTCTTCCATTGCTTGTGATGCCATCTTCCAGAATTGCTCATTGTTCCACACATACAATGCGCGTTCCGCAACCTAAAATCAAAACCATTAGTAGTCTCCAAAATCTTCTCTTCATAAGGTGTGTTTAGTATGAGCGAAATACCTTCTAGAGGTCAGTTTGTGGTGTTTGGTTTGGAGAAAATGTTTTCCTTTGAAAAAAACATCTATCATAAAAATGGAGAATATGAATTCCCTCACATATGGGCGGAATTTAAAGGGGAGGCACTGGCTTTTACCTGTGAGTTCCAACTGTTTAAACACTTGGTAATTTTGGTGCACAAAGGCAGTGCTAGTTCTTTGTACTGTTGAGGATCTAGAGTTTCCACAAGTTCTTCCAATTCACCAATAAGCAGAACTTCCTTCTGGTAATTTGTTATCGGCCAGTATCTCAAAATACCTCTAATAACAACCTCACCAAGCTCTGGCTCTTTCTGCACAAACTGAGATACACAATAGGACAATTGCGTGTGGTAAACTTGCATCCCTTTTGGCTTATGCAAAGGGACAAGAACTCTCACTAAGAAAAGTTTGTGCTCTTCTTTCAAAGGAACACTAAAGCCATTGATAATTGTGCCCCATATCTCAAGAAGTTCTCCTATTCCAGGGTGCCTTTGATCAGTCTCAAAAACATAGTGCAAAAATACATCATTCATTTCCTTTCTCATGAATGTTCTATAGAATGTTAATTTTGAATAAATTCTGTGGAAGACATTCTTCAAGCTATCACGTTCCCTTTGGTCTTCAGATTGGAACAATGTGAGGAGATTAAGAAGGAAAGAATGGTCTATATAAATTCGGAGCGATTCAACACTTGTTCTACTGACAATCCTGAGGAAAATGTCATAAACTATTTGCAAATGTGGCCAAGATGGTGTAGGATTACTGACAAGATCATCGTCGTCGGGTAATATTGAGGCAACAGAGTAAATTGGTGGAGGGAGTGGCCTAAAAAGATTAGTGGACAACATTTTGAAAAGGGGTGAAAGTACTTGATCATCAAGTGGTTTTATGAGAGTCTTGATTATTGATAGGAGTTGAATGAGTTTTAGCCTCTTTAAATCTTGTTGTGAAGGGGATACTTGTGGATCAGTGAAAGTGTAAGTGAAAGAACAGTAAGAAATAAGAGAGAGCAATTCCTCTGTTTCAGAATCAAGAAAATTTGACATGTTCCTGGAATCTAAAAGGAGTTGTTTTAGAGTTGTGGGTGTTTTTCTTGGAGAAGCTCTTGGAGAGTTTTTTGGGCTGTATGTTTTTCTTGGAGAAGCTCTTGGAGAGTTTTTGGGGCTATTTCCATTAAACCCACCCATTTTCCTTTTTGCCTTTTACAAGTCGTCTGACAGAAAAGACTTTCTGAAACAATAAAAGTACTTGGACTCGTCGACCACTTTCTGAATCGATAAAAGACTTTCTGAATCGATAAAAGAACTTGGACTCGTCGACCACTTTCTTGAAGATTGAGATGAGTCTATATCGGTCCTCACTTCAAAAGGTGAGAGTGAATGGTTAATGGTTTATTTAAAGAAAAGATTAGTATAATTCTTTCTCATAGATTAGTGTAAAGAGGAACAAGAAACACGATGTTTAAGAGGAAACACTCTTGGAAATGTCCGATGATTGAGAGGTTTTTAAAGAAAAGACAGATAGGTAAAAGATAAGGTAAACTTTGTTTCTGGAATATTAATGGCCAGCTCCTCTATGCTCCTGGTTAATTTTTTGGAGATATTGATGCTTCATTACTTAGTCATCAAAGCAAAGTTCTTGGCTAATTTTCCATTACTTCAAATTTTTCTTTTTATATAAAATATAGTAGGAGGTACCAAAAAAAGATTTTTATTCGGTTCAACAAAACAAACAACAAATATTATTCGAATGTATGCGCATAGTTGGATATTCCTGTAACCATTACTTTTCAATTTGTGAAATGAAATAATGCATGTAACATTTGACGATTGTGTAACGTTAAACTTGTAAAATTGAAAAAAATATATGCAGGTAATTTACATGAATTTGTTCAAAATTACATTCTTCTGTTATATTCCTTGCATTAAGATACAATCTTATATAGAATCATAGTAGTAAGTAGTAAGCAAAGACTGTCAAGGCATTCAATAAAGTTCTTATATGCACCCTCATGCAGTAAGAAGGATATAGTTTATCACTATGATAAAATAATATAATTTGATGTAAATATCGGGTATCACTAAATTTATTTCAGGAGATATATACTATGCATGGTTATATTCAGTCGAAGCCACTTATGATCCTTCATCGATAAATTACACTGTGTAGTTAGGTAATTTTTATATAGTTATGTACATATATATACTACTATTATGAAAGCCCTTAACTTTTCGTTTATTTTTTTCTTTAAATTTTGACACCTCTAAATAAACTGACTCCACCACAAATCATATTCTTGTTTTTATTTAAAGAGCGACTCGTTAGCATATAGTTTGCATTGTTGAAAGGGGACAAATCATAGCACAATGATAGTGATTCAAACACTTGAATACAAACCAATTAAGCAGAGTGAGTTGCACACTCAATGTTTACAATTGTCATGGGCTCAACGTACTAAGATATCCCACAACCAACAAAAAAGAAAATATACAGCAAATTCAATGCTTCTAACATCAAGAAAACAGAAGGCTCTTTTTTTTCTTTCTTTTTTGTAATTTCTCAATGGGTGTCCAGTACCCGCTTTGGGGCCCGACTAATCCGAGTGTGCGCCGGGAAATCTCATTCACCATTTTAGGCCTCACCAACCGGATGATAACTTGACTGCAGATCTACAAGATCAGAGTTAACAGAGAAACTTAACCATCTCTTTTTGTCACAATAAACTAGGCAAGGCTGCAAAATAATCCCAAAAAGAATTGCCAAGAAACTCACAATCATGACCTTAAATGTACACAGTGCCATAACCACAAGAATAAATAAGGTTGGTGGCAGACACATTAAAATTGAACCAACTGTGCTTAAGGGAATCCTATAAGGTCTTGATGCTGCTGGATATTTTATCCTTAACTTCACAAAAGCTATAAATTCCACAATCATTCCACAACAATACAGAAAGTTGGCTGCAGCCACAATCTCTTGAAAACTAAGCCAGGACAGAAGTACAACACCTGATGCAGAAAACAAGATTCCAATAAGAGGAGTTCCATAACGCGATCTCTTGGCGAAAAAATCAGGTAGCATCCCTCGTTCTGCCATTCCCAAAAGCTGAAAAGAGTCACCACTCATTTCAGCCAAAAACATTCCCATATTTGACACAGCCGACGCCCCTTGAACCCATAATCTTAACCAAACTCCTCCAATGATTTTAGCTATATCCGAGAAATAACCATCGCTCCAAAGATCACGATGCAATGGAACAGCTCCGGTGCCAAATAAAAGAGGAAAAAAATAGCCAGAGATAACTAAGGGAAGTGCATAGAATATAGCCTTAGGAAGTGTTTTCCCAGGATTTTCTACTTCTCCTGCCATACAACTAACTGCATCCCAATAGTTCAAATTCCAGAAAAGTGTATTTAGATACAATCCCCATTGTACATTTTCCAAGTCTACGACGAACCATCTTGAAGGCTCTAATTTTGGAAGCGCGATAAGTCCCATAATTCCAAAAGGAAGGAGAGTAAATATTCCTAATATTGTAGCAACCCAACCAACTAAAGTTAAACCTCTGTAGTTCAAATAAGTGAGTGCCATAACTATAGCTAGGATCACGATCGTTCTTGGAAAACCATTTGCCAATGCTGGAACAGCAGATTTAATGTAGTCTAGAAACAAAATTGGGTACAACGCATTATCAACTACACCACTCATCCATTTCACCCATCCTAGCTGAAATCCCCAATAAGGACCTAAAGTCGTCGAAACCCAAACAACATAACCTCCATTTTCAGGGAACATTGTGCTTAATTCTGCAGTTATTAAGGATTCTGGGATACTCCATATAAAAGGAAAGATTAGAAAACCGAGTAGTGCTAAAAGAGGACCGGCTGCACGGACAGTGTCTTCAACACCAAAAGGTCCACCAGAGACTCCATAGAATATAAGGAATGTGAGAGGGATAAATGAAACCTTAGTGTAGTTCTTCACATTTGGAGAACCTGCCTCGTGTAAACTCGAATATTCAGTGTTGTTATCTTCAACTCCCATTTGACCAGATTTTAGCTTTGCTGTTGGAACTTATTGTTTTCTGTTTATATGCAGTATCAAATTATGAGTGCCTCAGTAATCTATGGGGGAAAAAATGCTGTAAATACAAACTACTGAG